TTCCTAAGGTGCTCTTTGTCATGAAAGTATCTTATTTCTCCATCAATTTTGAAAGATAGTTTTGCAGGGTACATCAATCTGGGTTGGAGGGTGTTGTCCTTTAGGGCTTGCAATACGTCACTCCAAGCTCTTCTAGCCTTGAGGGTTTGCGTTGAGAAGTCTGCTATGATTCTGTTGGGCTTTTATTTTTATGTGGTTTGTTTCTTTTCTCTAACTGCTTGTAGAACACTGTTCTGTTGGGTTTCTGGAATCTTAACAATTATATGCCTATGTGTAGATTTTTTTAAATCAAGGCTAGTTGGAGTCCTATATGCCTCACTTATCTGTATGTCAAGTTCTTTTCCACTGCTTGGGAAGTTTTCTACCATCACTTCAGTGAATAGTATTTATTATGTCATCTGTACTATCTGCTGTTTCTTCATTGACTCCAATCAGTCTTATGTTATTCTTCTCTGCATTGGCTAGCAGCTGCTGGATTGATTTCTCGTGGCCCCTTACTATTTTAAAGCAAATTTTCTTTTCCTGGTCACTAATTGCAATCTTATCTTCTATGTCTGAAATTCTGTCCTCACACTGGCTCATTCTGCTGTGTAAGCTTTCAATGGAGTTTTTAATCTCCTGGAAATCTGTTTCTATCTGTTTTATGGATTCCATTTGTTTCCTATGTTGGGATTCCATCATGTTCCTCAGCTCCTCTATTGTTTTATCTGTTTCCTCTCTAGATCTATTAATCATGTCTTGCACTATGGGCACAATCTCTGCTGTTATGTGAGAAATTTTTTCTGATTTCATTTTTTCCAGATCCTCTTTCATTGCTAGTTCAGGGAGTCCAGGTTGTTGAGTATCGGAGTGTTCCATCTCGTTTCCCTTTGGGGTTGCTTTAGGTGATTTGGAAGTCTGGTTTTGAGACTTGTTTACATGTCTTCTCATTTTGATGGGAGGTTGGGGTGTTGATGGCACCCGCATAGCTCACCTCCTGTGTACTGGGGAAGAGGGTGGTATGGTGGCCAGGAAGCCTCCTCATGGGAGCTGGGAATGGCTCACCTCGACTTTTTCATTCAGCTGCTTTGTGCTGGTGTGAAATCTAGAATAAGCCATATCACTACCTTCCCTAGATTGGAAGATATCTGAAAGATTTGACAGCACATAGGATCTGTCTATTCTTCACCCTATAGGCACTAGATCAAACTAAACCTCTTCTTTTCTATTCCCATAGCAATTTGTATTAATCTCCTAGAGCATTTTTATTACAATTGTATCTGTCTGCATCACTAGGCTGTTAATACTTGGTGGGAGAAAATGTTTAAGTATACACTGTTGCAGCATATTGTGTTAAATGTGAGAATCTCAAAATGAGGACATCTGTAAGAATGCTTCCATTTTCATAATTTTTACATTTTGAGATACTCTTAAGCTATGTACAAGGTAAAGAAGAGAAGTAAAATCACCTATCTGAAGTGAGTTCTCTTCTTAAATGTGTGTCTTTCAAAAGAGAAGTAAAGGAAAAAAGGAAAACGTGACCTTTGTCTTTGAAGGAAAAGATGGCACCATATACAGGGATTTGTTTAGTACCTTGAACTCTCACTCTGATCCTTGTCACAATGAATAAGATAAACATCTTATTTTTTTTCTGTATCTTCAGTTATTAGCTCTTTTATGCTAATGGAAAGATTCAAGAATATTTATCAGGATTTAAAAATAGAAAATAATTTTCTTCTAGTGCAAACCTGATTATTTTTAATGTTCAGTCAGGCAAGAGTCTGAAAGTTGAAAAAATCAAGAGCTTCCTATGTGTTTTCTCCCCAGGGAGATTAGAAAATAATTATCCGTTAGATTCAAGGGCAATTAGGTAACATATGTGAAGGTCTTCAGTGTTAATGCACTATAAAAAGAATGAAAATATTTTGATGAGGCTCATACAAGTAGAGCTTTCTATTTTACTTATAGTTGTTAGTGATATCCATGACAAGAGGATTTAATTTATTGTTCACATATATAATTGCAGGTTTTATACTGCAGTATTTCAAAGAGCATGTTAGACTCTTTTTAAAGAAGAATATAAATTTACCTCAATAATACAAAGGATAAATTTCATTATGTTATTTAAATGGTTTAATATCAAGATAATTCAGAGCTGACATTTTAATTAATTCTCTTTACATAATTGCCAGTCAAAGTTAAAAGTAGCAAATGTTTTTATCAAATCACCTACTTTAATTCAGAATTTTCAATTCATCAAATATTAAAAGTAGCAGCTCAGTAACCGCCGATTTCCCAGTTAGCTTGGATTTCCATTCAGGATATTTCAGACGCAGCACTGATGTTTATGGCCTGAATAGATATTACTATTTCGAAGGTAGTAGAAGACTGCTATAAGGAAGGTTATTGATTTTTTGTTTAATATTTAATAGTTTTTCTTTATAATGAAATTTTCTTCGCTACCTTGGTATTGCTGTTTTTCCCAATATAAAAATCATATTCCACCCACCTCCAGTATAACATTTCCCTTTTCTTCTTGTAAAGCTCATTTGAAAACTTCAGAAATATAATTCACATATTAACAACAACTGCAAATGACAAGGACAGTCTTGAAAAGCTATTTTGATTAAAGCTCATAAATAATAAGTTAGTAAACTTTTACTTTTTTGTAGATTAATATTGGGACCTCATCTTCCAGATAATAAATCATTGTGATGGATTGATCTGAAAAAAATCTTCTTAGGTTTGAATTAAACATATTCATAAGCAAGTGTTTATTTAACTTTACTTTTGTCTCTGTTTTCTCCAGTACAGTGCTCTTAATCCACGAGAATCATGGGACATGTGGCATCCCACTCTGGTAGCTGAGGCTTTATTTGCTATTGCAAACATCTTCAGTTCCCTGCGTCTGATATCACTATTTACTGCAAATTCCCACCTGGGACCTCTGCAAATATCTCTAGGAAGAATGCTTCTGGACATTTTGAAGTTTCTATTCATATACTGCCTTGTGTTGCTAGCATTTGCAAATGGTCTAAATCAATTGTACTTCTATTATGAAGAAACAAAAGGGTTAAGCTGCAAAGGCATACGATGTGAAAAGCAGAATAATGCATTTTCCACGTAAGTTGGATAGATATTTCTATTGGTAAAATTGGACAGAATTTAGAGTATATTATATCAGGAATTTGAAAATCCATGACAAATAGTTGCAATGGAAAGGGAGAATTCAAATTATGCATTATGCAGAAGACAGAATTAACTTGGCTTTGATTACAAATGAATCAATTTGACATTTAAAAAATACCTGGTACATTTCTTTTAAGTTTTAATAAATTGTCTTTTCTTTTAAATTCATAGAAAGAAAAAACATATATGTATGAAACATACATATATTTTAATGTGGAATAAAAAAGAAAACCTATATACTATTGACAAGTTATAAATATGTTAAAAGATAGAATATATTTAAAATCAATCATATTTTAAAACTCAAGTGCATTTCAGCCTTTGCTCACCTGTTTTCTGGGTACTAATGTCCCTTCACATGTATGTTTCATTTTCTAGTTCCCTACGCAAATATATATAAGCATCTAAAAATAAAATAATCCAAACGTAAACTCAATTAGCATGCAAAACTCGCTTTTCCACACTAAAATGAGCAATTGACAACATTCACTGTCAAATCAGGCTTGCTGACACCACAGGCTGATGAGCACTGTGCTCCACAACTCCCAAAGAAAACCCCTCTACCCATCTGTGCCCATTTCTTTCCCATTGTGATAGAAGACCAATCATCTGCAGGCTAAGAGGCTACCTAGTTTTCCTGTACACAGTCAGCACACGTAAGTCCTTTCGTAGATGACTTTAAAAGTCAGATCTTTATTCTTGGACCATCATAGACATGCATACTATAAGAAAGGACATTAATTTCTCAACTGGGAGGATATCAGTAATTTCACATAAATTTGATTCCTTTTAGTTAAAATACTTACATTGATTTAATCTTACATGTGTTTTATGTTTGATCCTGAAACTTAAAAACCCATTTTAATTAACATACATCTATTTATCTGCACATAAAATTTTAATCTCAGCCTTAGCTATTTTAACTCCTTTCAATCCTGGAACCACACAGAAGGCATGAAATCATTCCGTCTTCCCCTGATCATTTCCAGCCCTTTCTCCTAGGTCTTTTGTCTTTGTTCGTAAGCAGCAGTCCTTAGGCCCAAACAGCACACTCACCTGGTCTTGGGCAGGAAAGACACAATGAAATCTCCTTCAATTACATCCTTGCCTTATTTACCTTGCATTTTAGCTTTGACTTCTGAACTTACATTGCCTCTCATTTGTGGTCCTTGACTTGTTAACTTGCCCAGGGCAAGTAGCATTAAGGACTGGCAAAGGCCTAATATTGCCAGCTTCTCTTTTCATAAACAAGAATTCTACCTCTAACAACTTTCCTGCATGTTATCCACTGATTGGTTGCTCTCCTGGATTTCTGATTGAGAGCCCTTTTGCACACTCTATATTTCACAATTTGTTACTTTTTACTGTATCCCTTAAGGCAAACTACATGCTAAGACCCCTGAGTATATATCTGTTGCCATATCCTTCTGATTCCATCATTTGTCTACCAGAAGGAACCTCCACACAGTACCTGGAATTGTGCTATATCCCAGGTTTCAGCTCTTCTCACCTGTTTGGTTCCTCTGCTACCCTCAAGTTTACACCTAACACATCTCCAAGAATCTCTTGCTTCTATTTCTGGTTTCTTGCTAAGTAATTACATATGGCAAACCTATTATAAGTCCAAGAAGATTTTGGCTACAGAAGTATGATGTGTAATATCTAACATAAATTTTAATCCTATGATAGATATATTGGATTGCTTGGATTATGTATTATTTTAATTTATCTGTATCAATAGTTTCTTCCATTATCATGAAAAACAACAGAAAATTGCATATCTCAAATATTATAGGCCCAAATCATTAAACTAAAATAAATTACTTATTTCATCTCAGTTTTTCCAGATAATGAAATATATTTCTGCAGACAAAAATTTAACATTGGGGTGGGATTTTAGCTCAGTGGTTCCAGTCCCTGCCCTGCAAGCGCAAGGACCAGAATTTGATCTCTGGTACTATAAAATAAATAAATAAATAAATAAATAAATAAAATAAATTTAACATTGATCAATGATATTCAATAACTAAAAGAAAATATTAATAAACTATAGTATTATTACACAGGTCCTATTTCAGCATAATGGATATCAATCTTTATGAAAGGATGCCTTCAGGCTCCAGCTCTACCTCTTAGTTCTGTGCTTCCATTGGTCACAAATTTTTCTTTTGTAATTCTTCACCTTCCATAAATTTCAGGCTATTTTTCCTACCTGCTATTTTATAGATCTCACTGAATATGAAATTTAAAGAACACACTTTATGTGAAGTACCTAGCACATTGTCTGTATTCTTATAAATGTCACAATGATGATAGCAATTTAGTATTAGTAGTAGAGAGTTATCTTTTATTTATTTCATTTATTTAACAAGTTTCCAACTTCTTCCATTCATGCTATAAACATATGCTGAAACTTTGAACCTTCTTGTATTTTTCTTTAGCTGCTATTCCTGTCTTTCTCCCCATTTTAATCTAGGGAAATTTAAAATATATCTCCTTTTCTCTCCACTCACTCTTCATTCAATTACAATTTAATTTCTGCTTCCACCACTCCACTGAAAACACTAGAAAATATCATTTAGACCTTTTTCATCACCACTCCTTTTAGATATTTATCTGCTTGCGTCATATTCAATATATCCCCTTAATTGAGACATTTAACACTTCCACTTTGTAAAATCTTACCCTCCTTAAATTCTGCTAAATTTTTTTTCCACTCTACCTCTTACTTCTCTAACCTTTCTCACTTTTCTCTAACAAATATGTTTCAGTAACTACTTTTAAAAAGTGGTTTCCCTTCACATTCTAAACTGAAGTCCTTTTTCAAGTATCTCTGTGAAAACTCATCTATGCTTATGTATTTGGCCCTATGTGCCAAAGAGTCCACTTCCATACTTGTATGACCAGGGCAGGGTCCTGTCTCCACATTGTACAGTATGTCCAACTGTATGTCAGGTATATCTCAATAAATGTCTCCTTCAATCAGAACAACTTCAGTCAGAGAACTTACTCATCTCTCTCAAAACTTTTTCTTCCTCCTCCTCAACTCCTTTCTTAGTCAGTGTTATCAAAAACTTACATTTTGTTCTAGACCTTTCCTTTCGCATTCACTTCCACATCTTGCAAACCATGTTCACACATGTTGTTGTGAACACATGTTGTGAACCATGCTTACTCCTATTCTGTATTATTTTTTCACTATCCTGTTTTGCTCATGACCCATGCCCAAGTCTAAGTCCTTCTGCCTGGGGTTCTGGCTTTTTTTATATATCATCCATGTTGCTTCCTGAATGTTCTTTTCAAAACAAAATCAGATGCTCCCCTGTTTAAAGTATCAAAATCGTTTCCCATTTCTCACCAAATGCAGGCACATCCCTTAAGCTTGACTTAAAATATCCTTCAGTGATCTACCTTTTGCCTCCTTTTCTACTTTCATCTTTCACTGTTCCCTCAAAACATGCTACTCTTCGACATTGTTAAATGATCATAAATCTCCCTGGGTATCATCTTCTCTTATTCCAGAAATGCCCTTCAATTATCCTCCCAGTTGGCAAAATTTTATCCTGTTTCCCAACCTTTTCAAAAATAATTTTCCCAGAATACCTTTCCTGATCCCTGTAAGATCCTGGGGTCATAGACTACAATGTGTGTCTTTTATATCTCTTTGTGCTTTTTCCCTCCCACAGATATTTCTTGGTCACACTTCTAGGTTATTTCCTCATTAATATGGAAAGAAAGATGTCAGTAAAAGACATCAAATGCTCAGTCCCTAGAATCATTCTGTATACAATTCTAAACTAACAGCCCCGGTCAGGAACCCTCATATGAGAAGAGGGACATGGGTGTCATGACAGGTATTGTCTTGTTAAGCAAAGTCATTTATATTTTTTGGAGCTGAATTCCTAATGGCTGGAACTGGCCAATTAGGATCACACTTCATTTGTTTTAATGCTACATTTTCAGTTATAAAATAAAGATAAAATATTAAGATGGATCTTCTATTAATACACGTTTGCTTCTTAGCCTCTTGGGAGAGAAGAAAACCTCAACTGTAGAATACATTACCTTTTTACTTGTTTGATTTCTTTTCTTGAAAATATTTAACCAGAAAACAAGCTTATTTTTAAAAAGAGCAGTTAAGAAATATCTTCAAATGGCAACAAATTAAATGTTATCTTTAAGAAAATAGAACCCCATCCCACACAAAGTTAGCCTTTAATTTACTCTTCAACTCAGATTTTGTGCTAAGTGCCAGTTAATTAATTCATGTTTTTTAATTTGTTTGTTTTTGTTTTGTTTAGAAAGTGAAGTCCATTTTGCCCCACAGAAAAAGGAAAATATTAATCACATGCAGGCATTTTGAGCTGTGATCCAACTAATGATTCTTAAATTCATGGGCAGTGTTGGTCTCTATAGATCTGAGAATCACTAATGATCAAAATATTTCTTTGAAATGATAAACCTAGACGGACTTTTTAAAAGTTCATCTATTGAAAGAATGACTCATTTAGAAATACCTAAACACCATGGTCTTAATTAATCCAAAAAGTAAATATATTTTATTTAGGAAGAACTCTTTTATAAATCTCACTACTATTCATTCCACTGAAAGAAGGGGAAAAAAAGAATAAAATGTATAGTTAATTAGAAAATAGCATTCTGTTTGGATTTTCCCTCTTTTAAATTGTACTTTAAAAAGTCAGTAAATATTTTCTCAAAGGATTTTACCAATGCTTCTTAGGAATTTACTGTTCTTAGAAGCAAATAGGTGCTATTCAACCATAAGAGTCTATTTAATCTGCATCATTGTTAGAACACTTGAAAAGCAATTGTTATGGGATTTATGGGTTAATATTTTATATAATTCATTATGCAATTTGTGCTATTTAACTTGTAACTTTTTCTAAACTGCTATTCATGTCAAGCAAAAACCACCTGAAGTATATTTCTGTAGTCACCGTGACAATACATATTATTCAAAAAGAAAAGCAAAGTTTTTTCACATTAAATGCAAAGGATGCCAGAAAGTTACTAAAAATAAAAAAAAATAAAGTTTATGATCTTGGGCCAAATTTACTTTTTCCTTGAAAATTTTCAAAGAATAAGTCTTAATGACCTTTCTCTAGGGTCACTGCATTAGATCTAACTCATTCTAATTTTATTGCAATCTGACATCTAGGTTACCAATAATGCATCATTACCATCTCACATAATGCATAACATGCTTCAGTCTGACCAAGTTGATCAGATCAGCACACTTGGTGCTTTACAGTAATCTGTTGAATCATTTAGTAGCTGTAGAAAAATAAATACAAATTAAATTTCATCTCCTAGAATTAATTGTTTAAATATGATGAAATTGGTTCCTTGTCTTTTGTTTTTTAAAGCAGCAAATCTGGAGAAAATCAGCCTTACATGCCAATTTTACAATATTTAGTTAGAGTCTCTTAAGTATGTGGGCCAAAAAATATATGGCTTATTTCAAGTAACAGCCATTTCACTGTGAAAATAATGCACAGAATTAAAGCTCTTTGAGGCTCCAGGTAAAAGGTGATGATAGCAAGGGCAGGACTTACAGTAAGCCTAACTCTAAGAAGACCAGGAGTTGGCACATGGACAATTTTCTCTGTGTGTCAGCACTAATGTGAGTCAGCCACTCCATGTATGTTTACCTTGGTGTTTACTTCTTGGCTTATTCCTGTTAATTCTCAGCTTCTTAGTTTGTGCCATCTCAAACCTTTGGTATCCCTTAATTCTAATGACCCTAAATCTATACCACAATTATGTCATCTCACCCTCTTTTGCCAACTAACTCATGTTGCTAAACTAAACTTTCCTAAAGAGGAAATTAGATCATATTCAATTTAGGCCTGCCAGTAAGCAACTGGCTCATAGTAATTGTCTTTCCTTGAGTCACTTGATCATGGTTTGATCTAATCCATTAAGGCACTGAGTGAGGGAGGAGCCCCAGAGACCTATATAAAAACCTCCATTTCACAAAATAGTACATGTGAGACTAGGTCACTGAGGTTGAGACACCCCAAAACATGATTGACTTGGTCTAATGCTAATATCCCTAAATAATGAAATCCTTCCTTAGTCACTATGCCAAATATAAAAGGGTTTGTATTTTTGTTTTCACAGTACAATTTAAACATAGTCTTTTAAAAATAATTTTCAAAAAATATAAACTCTCTGCTATTTCTATTACATTGTATTAATGTACTGCAATACTCCCATCAGAACAAATAATTTTCCATTTGGGTTTAGTTGCTCCTCAGATCATTCCATTTTTCAGAGTAAATTCAAGAAATTTTACTTTCAATAAAGTCATTAGAGTTCATTCATTTGTTGGAGTGAATAAAATGTGCCTTGTATAAAAAAATCAAATGTTATTATCTAAACACTCTGAGACTCATCACCATTTTTCAAAGTCTAAGCTCTAAGGTCTATCATTTATTAACTAGTTATCAGTAGCTCAAGACAGGGATTGACAAACTTTCTATGAATAATGCAAGCAGTAGAAATTTCAGGCTTTGTGAACTATGTGTTTGCTAATGTCACTGCTTTTGTCACTGTGTCTGACCCAAAATAAACTATGAGAAACATGTATATGAAAGAGTGGAATTGTGTTTCATAAAATTTTATTTAAGGGTATTAAAATGAATTTTACATAATTTATGTATCTAACAAAACAGTAGTCTTTGTTTAATATTTTCTTCAGTCTTTTGAGAAAACACACACTATTTGTGGCCTACTAGTTATACAAAAAGAGGCTCTGGCCCCATGCCCTAGGAAATTAAATATACTTTTCAATATTCTTGGGAAATTAATTGTATCTACCTAGGATAATTCAGTTTATTATTTGTGTTAGTTTCATTAAAATAGTTTCTTTAATTAAGTTTAATTTTAATTGTCCAAAATATTTTATTCTTAATATATATTTTAAGTTAATCAAATATACATAATAGTGCCAAGTTCTATTTCTATACCTTATCACATAATGCTTCAATTTAGATATTGATGTCATTTTATCTTTATTCTAGGTTATTTGAGACACTGCAGTCACTATTTTGGTCAATATTTGGACTCATCAATCTGTATGTGACTAACGTGAAAGCCCAGCATGAATTCACTGAATTTGTTGGTGCCACCATGTTTGGGACATACAATGTCATCTCTCTGGTTGTCCTACTCAACATGTTAATAGCTATGATGAACAATTCTTACCAACTAATTGCTGTAAGTTTACTATTTTTACTTCAACATTTCTTCTAGAATGTGTTGTGGCCACCTATATTCCATTTTGTTATGATAGGAAATCAAATCTACAATTGGCTATTGATAATAAAGATTGAAATTGCAATATAAAATAAATAGTTAATTTGAAATTTGTGAGCTGCAGTATACTGTATATGACTATATGTTAATCTGCTTTTGTCATATTACCTGTGATTATGAAAGTAAACTAAATATATTTTGCCAGGGAACCACTGGCTATGGGAAGAACCAACAGAGAGCTCCTCTCTGTGTGACATCTATTGGTTTTGCAGTCTCTATTTCACATGCCACCTTGATAAAAGCAAGCTCATGTCAGGTTGGCAAGATACAAAGAACACCTCAGAGAGAAACCTGGCATAGGGATAAGCCATAAGATTTTCATTTTCTTAGAGCTCTATGCATCTGCAGATTTAGATTTCATCTCCAAATCTTAGAAGCTAAATGTAGTAAGAGGAATTGTCATGTGTTAGCATTTTAGCTCATGAATCAGTAAAGAAAAATAATACATTTTCATGTTTTGTGCTGGTTTTTGTCAATGACAGATGTCTTCTAAGAAAAATCCTCTTTTATAAATACAGTTTTAATAAAATTCAGAGTGCTCCTTGACAAAATAGTCATGCATTACAATATTTCTAGTTACTAGAACTGGGCTCGGCAACAGAATGTTACTCAATAAGAATTTTCTAATTATTGACTAAATTAGGTTAAATTGATTTCAGTGGAGAGTTTCAAATAGACACATGTTGTACTGTATATTTTCCTGCACACTTCAAGGTTGCTTCTACATTGCTTTTCCTAAGCTTACACTCCATATAACTGTATTTGATTCTGAAGTTCTGTTTTCCTCTAGCCAATACACTTCCCAAAAATGGACTCTATTTACCAGAATGACAACAACAAAATATTAGAAAGTCTTTAATTATCAAGCTAGGTAGAAAGAAGCTGCAAACAATTTGGTTCCTGTAAAATAATTTGGTTCCGGAAAAAACATTGCAAAATGTCCCAATTATATCAGGAAGAACATTATTCAAGAGTAGTATGGTCTTTTTTGTGGAGCCTGTTTTGTTTCATAACTTTATTGCAGAGATGAAAATAATCTTCAAATTTCACTTTTTATTTAACCCTAATGCTAAAACTACTGTGACAAAAGCAAAGCAAACATTGAGAGCCTGAGACAGGTGTGCCTGACAGCATCTTGTGGGGCAGCCTCCTTGGGGCACGGGCATGCCAAGCATTTTACTCTCACCTGCCCCAGAATAAAATAATTTACTCTAAAGATTTCAGTTTTTGGTCCTGCTACTACTAACTCAGAGCCATGGGGTAAAGGGTGAAGCATAGGGTAAGCATGAAGCATGGAGGAGAATAATTTCACAGTTGCAAGGCCGGCCATAACTAAAGCCTTCTTCCCACTCGTGAACTTTTTCATTTGTCACATAGTTATTGTTCATCTACCTTATATCAGGCCTATCACATACAAAAATTAGTGATACAAAAAATAAAAGAAGTACATGATCTCAAGAAAAAATTAACGTAACAAGGACAAAAATTTTAAAAATGTATAATTGAGAAGAGAAATTTGATAATAGCCTGAAAGTGAAGGGAGACACTAGACTTGGGATAGAAACAGGAGTCAGCTGAAGATTGATGGGAGCAGGCTTCTGAGGAGAGATGAAACTTTAACTAAGTTTTACATGTTGAGTAAGAGTGAGAAGGTGAGTAGGAGAAGATGGCTTTAGTCATCCTCAGCTTACAGTTCTTTATCTCCATATCATCTAAGTACTATAGACTACGTTATAGACCCTTACAGAATCCCAAAACATGAGCAGAGAAGCACCTGCTCAGTGGTAGCAATAGAACAACATAAGACGGGCAGAATAAATCTTAATTTGTGACTCTCTGAGAATCAATAAATCGAAAGGAGCAACTAACAGGCCAACACTTTAAGTGATTGTCTTTTCATTCCCTGGAACTAATTCTACTGAATTCCATTTTCCATGATTGTAGCACACAGTATACAGTGTATACTTTTCTTCACTAATGCAGCACAATCAGGAAGAGTCTATAAGTGTATTTAGAAATAAAGGAAGAAAGAAGAAAGAAAAGATGAAGCATAAGAAGAGGGAGAGGAAAGAGGAGGAAAACTGTAGGTTCTCTACTTCTACCAATCAATCTGTACAATCAACCATGTGCTCAGCCATGTATCCTGTAGGCAAGATAAACTTTGTCAAGGGACAATCCATCCAGTGTCGAGTAAAACCCAGCTGACTGGAGTAGAAATATGTGTGTATGTGTGTCTCTGTGTGCATTATATATATGAGCACCCAATTTAGGAATATTAGAATGGACCATAGTCTAAGATTATTCTACTACTCTAAAATCTAAATTTTCTTTTATAATAATAATGTGTTACAATGAACTATTTTGAATTGTTAAAATGCTTGTATGCACAGTTTCTACCACCTCCTACTTCTCAGATTTTCTGCTTTAATCAGATTTATGGCTAATTTAAGAAGACACTGGCTGTCCTATATCTCACTTCCACAAGTGCTTCAAAGTTTCCCCCAAGTGGTTAATAAAGTGGAGTGAGTTATTAATGATGTGGTACATCCTTGGGCTTCTGGGCAAGCACTAGCCTGACTCCTATCTGGTGACATCTGCCAAGGTTTTAGAAAGGTTCAATGCTGTGGCAAGGTTCAGTGCTCCATTATCCATTTATTGGAAGAACTTCTCTGTGAGCAGGTGGGCAAGAATTGTTCACATGGAAGCATATACAATAGGCTTTTTCTGGCTGCACTGAAGGCTAAACTATGAGCATCTGCAAAGGTAGTGATCCACTAAACAGGGAGAGAGGTTACGGGAAATACTCAAAGCCCTGTTTTTGGCCAGGATGTAATAAAATTAAGCTGCTGAGATGAGTTTACAATGCAAGAGGTGCATATTCATCTTTGAATCATAACTACTGCAGTCACTTTAGCATGGACTTATTTTGAATTTCTGTTCTACTGAAGAAAGAAACATGAAAAGTGACATAAGTGCTGTGACTCCTGGCAGGGTAAGCCATTCTCTGAAATGTTCAGATGATTGCGTCTGGAAGCTAGGGCCGTTTTCATAAGGAATTTAATTAATGTCCCCAAAACCATTCCAAGCCAGGTTCAGGCTCTGTGTGAGGTTTATTTCACCATATTAATTAAGAAACCTGTCAGCAGTTGTCACATTCTCCTGTTCAGGACCATGCAGATATAGAATGGAAATTTGCTCGAACAAAGCTCTGGATGAGTTACTTTGAAGAAGGAGGTACCCTCCCCACTCCCTTCAATGTCATTCCAAGCCCCAAGTCTCTCTGGTACCTGATCAAATGGATATGGACTCATCTGTGCAAGAAAAAGATGAGAAGAAAGCCAGAAAGTTTTGGAACAATAGGGGTAAGAATACAGCACGTTAGTATTACTCTTTTTTTTAATTGTGCCTTTGAATGCAATTATATTTTTTATTGAATACTGTCAGATCTTTTGACTTTGCATTTTTGTTACTGCTTATCATGAACATTAATTGCACATCTACCAAGTGTAAGGCACCCTCTGAACAGCTAGAAATTTTTCATAACCCTATTTACTACCTAACAGGTAGTTACTGTTATTCTAATAGAGGCACTTTCTTCACACAAGCCTACCAGTTTTACCAATCAACACTTGGGGACTGAACATGCTCTTCCTTAAAATCTTGATTTTTGACAAATTTTCAGAATTAGTATAGCAGGTTCTTTGTGGCATTACTTCTCTATATCTGTTTCTCAGTCTGGATTGTAGAACTTAATGAAAGGAGGACATGTATTTTGGTTACTGGGGTACAATAGAAGAAATAAAAGGTAGAAAGAAGACAAGGAAATCATAACTAAAAAATATTGTAGTTTTAAAAAGACTGCAACTTCCAGGAGCCAGATGAAGTTACCCAAGGCAGTCCACATCAGAATTCCCTTGGTTAAATTTGGGCCCCTTTCCCTCTAGATCCATCATGCTCAAAATTCCTCAAGAATACTGAAAGTCCATATATTGGCTTAATTTAAAAAATAGAGAACAGGAACCTGAACCTAAGATAAAGGAACAGGTTGAAAGAATTCAAAGAGTGCTTAAACTATCCATCTAAAAAATAAATAAATAAAAAACTAGACCCACACATGTAATATAGGCAAGTCCTTTTCTGGGGGATGGGCATCTTTCCCAGGTTTCCATCGCCTCAAGAGAAGCATAAATGTTCCGCATTCCAGGAAATAATGTCTTTCTCTCTTGAGACCCCACACTCTATTTCTTTGAGCATGTACTGTTGAATTTCTGCCTCTTACTGACTAGTCTTGAAAATTCTTTTTCTGTGATGGGAGTCAGCAAACCTATGAACCTAGTCTATGGGTAGAGTGAATTGGTTTCTTTATCTCAGATTCCAGAACCTCCTTGGACCTTGTTTGGTGACAGTTACCTGGCCCTGCTTGATAAAAATGCCTAAAGAAATGACTGAATGAATGTGATAACTTGAATATACTCTGCCACCTGTCAGCTGTGATTCATAATATGTTTAATACTCAATACTTTGCTTCCATTCAGTATCATACTGTATGAGAAGAAGCTGTGTTTAAAAATATTAAAGTTCCCCAGAACCATTCTCTTGGTGTACTGGTATATATTTCCTTTGAAAACTTTTTTTTCATATTGGTAATTAAGGGTTCAAACTATTCCAACAGAAGCTACACAGACTTGAGTGTTCCAGCTAAACCGCTGACACGAGACAAGGAAGACTCTCTTCCCCTCTCGTTTGGTTTCCTACTTTTCAAAACTTTCATACGTATTTTGGGAAATAACACACTAACATTCACTAGTCACTCGGACCTCACAAAAATTGCTTTGAAAGTATCTTAAAATGCCTTTACATTAGAATCACCAAGTAATATTAGATATTTAATCAAAATTCAAAAATGTTAATTTTCCTTTAATATTTTAATAGACTTAATGACTGCTAGTCATGCTCTAAGTGGTCCTTATTGTTCTTTAACTTCCTCATCCACCAGGCAGTATTAACTCCAAATAGGGCTTTCTCCTACTGGAATGACATGGATTTTCCTGTGTCCCCAGTAACAATTCCAATTATAAAGAGAAACTGACTGGCAAGTGAAGCTTTCAGAGAGGTGTTTAGGGAAGGCAATTATGTTCATTCCTCCAAGATATTAGTGATGAATTTAGGGAACTACAGTTTGAGAACATACCTGATAATGGGAACCAAAGTCAAATTATGATGAAGTCTTATTCTACAAACCTCATGCTAATTTACGAGTTTTATTCCTAAGCATAGAAAAAAGTGGTTATTTTCCTGAAAATATCTTGTCTTTTAAGAGAAAAAAGTTGAATTATTTAAAAAATGGTGTAGAATAAATGTATTGAATAGAAAAGGCCTTATTTGGTTTATTAAGCAATTATTGCATCTGTTCCACATGCCAGCAACTGAGCTAGAAACTGGGAAGTGGAAGTATAAAGGAATGGTTTCCATTCTTGAGGACATGAATTTTAATATGAGAGATACAGAAATGAAAACATGTCCCTATAATGTGTGTTATATAACTGATAGGTCTCCCACTACCTCAGCAGCTATTATGTATAGTAGCTGCCCTCTTCCTAACCTGCCTTGCCCCCTCCCCTGTGTGACATCATGCCAAGATGGTTGCTCTCACCAAAGAATAAACCCTTCTTCCCAGTATGCCCCTGTTCCCACCTAGAAAGTAACCTAATACTCGCTCACCTCCTACCACCTAGTGACATCACGGGCTCCTCCATTCCCTAGTCACTACCTCACTCAACCCTGCCTCAGCCCCTACAAACCCCACCCCAGTCTCTATAAAAGACTCTCCCTGCCCCGGCCATATTGCTTTTGTCTCTCCTTTGTTCAGAGACAGCCCAGCAGATCTATTCCCCTAATAAAGGCTTGTTGTGGCCTGGTCTGGTCTTGGTCTTCGGCCCTTTTACCTGACAATAACATATGTAACATTTTAATATAGTTATATGTAAGACACTGTGAGAACTATGTGAGAAATAATTCATATTGTGTTTAAAGTAAACAGGAAAATATTTCAGGAAAGTCAAACTCCAATTTGTTCCTTTCCAAGTCAATATACACTCTCTTGTTCTGCATATCATCACATTTTTAATAGAGCCCTAGAGATATTGATGTTCAATATTGCATTATTTTGCTACCTCATCAAGGAAATTTGTCTTTCATTGTTTAACTTTAGGCAATGTCAGAGGGACTCTTAGGTTTTAAGATGTCATGAATCTTTTGACAATATATCAGGCCCTCCTCTCATTTTTTAAGAGATCCATCTTGTCCTGCCCACAAGAAGATTGGAGAATCACTCAAAGAATTGACTTCCAAGTCCATGCTCCCAACCTCTCATTGCTACTGGTCTTTAGGAACATGTTGTCATCATTTCTTAGAGGCAACTAGGACTTGCAGTTCAAATGAGCTTTCTGTTAAAGGAGTGATTCCCATTTTTTTTTAGAGGTTGAGAGTAAATGGTATAAGTTTAAGTTCTTTCTTTTCAATATATCACTGTTCTCAAAACGTGAATTTCTTTTGATGCCTCTATTTCTGAATTTGAGTTTTGTAAACAACAAAATAATTCACAGTTAATTGTTACTGAAAACCATTGCTTTCTTCCTTTCCTGAGCACATTTTACTAAACTTTGACAGTGTATGTTTTGAAACTTGGGGAATTTATGCCAAACTAAATAAACATTCTGAGTCATATCTTCCTTCTCCACCCTTTTTTCCCACCCTCAATACTCTCTCTTTTCCTCCAGGCTTAGGAACTTCAGTGAGTGTCATCCTAATGAAATGCAACATTACCTAAATTCACTCTTTCTATGGGCTGCATTTCCAGAATCAGAATGAAACATTATTTTGGTTTGCATATTTTCAGTTGAGTTTTATACATTTCTATTTATATGGAAACGAATATGTATGCCTTGTAAAAAAGCTCTTGCATGCAGAGAAACAAGATGAACAAAAAGCAAATTAAGAAGATTTAAATACTAATAGAGGAGTTAAATGAGGAAATAATATCAAAATAATTGATTTTTCCACAAATTCATTTCCATTTGATTATTCCTCCTAATGTGTACGTTAGGCAAAGAAATATGCATTCTTAATTAAAAAGTGACACAGAAGTATCAATGACAATCACTTGGTAAAACCAAAACATACCTTAACATCACACTCCAAAAGGAACTTAGAGAGCATTTAGTTCCACTATTTTCTTTAAAAGACAACTTGTTTACTTCCCTTAGGAAAAAAGCTAGAAAAAGCCCTGGGTCTCTTGTTTCCTAATCTAATGTTCTTTCCATTGGCCTCACTTGTTTCCCTGAAAAGTTTGATGGACATGCAATGGTATCTTACATACTGTGTATTGGTCCTTTGATTTTTCTCCATAGCTTTTACAAATCCAGCAACTGTTTTCAGCTGCATCTTAGGTTCCTGTACTTAAAGCCAAAGCCTTGGTTTTTATGCTGGCTCATATTCTGTTCTCATCCCCAACTTGTTTATATTTATGCCATGTTCTTGAAGCAGAAAATTTAAGTTCAGATTATTACATTCTTCGAGGACTTCTCTCTAACTGTCCTATTTGTGGTTCATTTACTGATATTTGTCACCTAGCAACTGCCTGAATGACAGAGGACTGGTCACTGCTTTCAGGAAGAGCCTAAAACCAGAGCTCTTGAAGGTTGCCACAATGGTCAATGTTGGAAGCCCATTACTGGTGACCTTCTATTTATAGCTTCCTGGTAATATTGATGCAAGTAACCCCCAAAACTCATTAACTTGTTTTTTTTAAGCTCTGACTTCCTTTAATGACTGACTGAGAGTTGCAGGTAAATTAATCTTTCACTTGACTGCTTTATACTAGATAGTATAAATGAAGCAGAAATTCATTATTATTGAGCAAAATATTTATGACCTGAAGAAAATGCATTATTGAGAGATAGCTTGTCTCTTGCAAATCATGAACATCCCACCAGAGATGGGAGTACCATAGAGTATCACACTGAGAGTACTAAGAGTACAGCCTACAGAGAGTACCATAATCAAATAAGGAACACACTCTGACATTGTTCATATTACTTTTTATCACTGTTTTTGTTCAATACCCTTTGTCGTATTAAACCATAGGTTCTCACATCTTAGCATGTATGTGTATTTGAATCATCCAGAATCTCCATTTTAAAACAAACATTTTCAGCTTGAAACTTTAATTGGAAATTTTGATTAAAGAACACATTGGGAGCTCTCATAGTTTTTTGAGCTAAAAATTGACCTTTGTGCTTGCTGTGCAAAAAAGTTCTGAACCATTTAATTAATGTAAAAGATACTAATACAATACTCCCCC